AACAGAGATAAAATGTTCAAGGCAGTGCAGTAATATGAACAATACATTAAAAAGGTAGTAAAAGTTATTGAATGCAGCAGGTAGGACTTTCCAAATATAGGGGGAGCTAAGCTGTAAGAAAGAAGGTGACTTTTTTCACAGAAAGACTTCTAAAAGTAGAACCACAGCTCTGTCTGTGTGGTCCCCTGCTGGGAACTTCCATCTCGGTAAAACATTTCCTGCAGAGGAGCTGTCTAACCACTGCATCATTCCCTTTCCATCATTAGCCTTTCTAGAAACTGTTTTTCATAATGGAGGAATATATTCTGGTCAATAACAACCTAATTTTCTTTAAAGTTCTCTGAAGCCACAAATTCCAGGCTGCAAATGACTATGGTAATACCAATAATAAGCTACTGATTTTTCTTCATTTTCTCTTCAACAGAGAAGACAGGCAAACCGGGACTCGTCTTCAAGCTTTTACTTAGTAGGGCCATACCTGTTGAATTTCGCACACTGAATGTGTGACTTAGTTCCTGCCTTGTGCTTCTAACAGTAAGGCCTGTACTTCTGTCTTTGCAGTGTAGTGCTAGAGGATCTCCCGCACCGTAGTTCAGCAGATCAGATGCACCTAGTCAGCCTGCTCTATGATACACCGACAGCTATGTTTGACCCAAGTGGTCATGACTGTCTGTTTTAGCCACAGTCTGGTGCTTTTACCCAACCAGATATAAAGGAGGGTCCCAGATGCTGCCTACTTCTACAACTTCTTGCCTGTCATACAGGACCATCGTATAGCCTAATGTGGCACGTCCCCCAGCATATGATAGAACTGTCTCAAATGTGTGTGTAGATTATTACCCATATCACTTGACTCAAAGGTAATATCCAGTCTTAAAAATGCTGAAAGAGAATGTATATATAACTAAAACTCAAACTAGACTATAAAGTTTTCCATATATTACAGGTTTTGAGGCTAGAAGGAACCATCAGGAAGGCAAACATTTTTTACTTGGAATCTGCCACTTTTCTTATTGCCTCCTTGCAGGTGCTTGTCTGATCCTGCAGGAGAGTATTGAGTTGGTGAGATAGATATGCCTATTCCCTTCCCTCTCAAGGACACAGGAAAAAGAGTGAAGAGAGGCAGCAAAACCTTTCATCCATTCTCTTTTCCACCTGCTTATCCTAGCTGAACTGGCACAGCCCGTGCTGTAGTCTGTGTTTTGACTAGGTCAGTAGAGAAGTAACGCTGATTCTGAAATCTTTCTGTCCCACAAAGTCTTCAGAATTCCTGGAGTGGATCAGTTTTTGCTCCACTCCTTGCTCAGGGATGTTCTGAAGTCATTATTTATTGCTTTAAGAGTAAGAATTTCAACATGATGCTTTCCCATATAAATTTTCCCACTCTTCACGTACATCTTGAGGTACCCAAGATGGGAAAGAGATATTTTTGGCCTTTTCAATAGGAAAATACCCAATAGTGAGTTGATCAAGCTAGTAAAATGTAATCCATTTAATGGTTTCATTTAATCTGACAGCAGCAATGTTTAAATTCCATGTTTATATGTTTAACCTCTGGCAAAAAAAGGTTAAAACCCTTTTTCCTTTGGGCTATAATTGCTCAGATTACCTCAGGAAATGCCAAAAGTTTATGTCGCTGGAATACTACTTTGTTGAGCAGTCTAACTAATCGTAAAACCCTATCATCAGAAGAGCGAAAGAAAGGCCAAAATAAGATCGATTCTTGGAAATGCATCCGTTATTGGCATAGGAACTGGATCAGCAATGAATTCTGAATCCATCTATATCTTTGAGTTAAGTTATGACTGTGATTTGTCACACTGTAATAAATGTGCTTTGTTATTAGGGGAAAAGATTCTTCCCTGATTTTGAAGACCCTTTGAATGCATTTTAAGCATGTCACAACACAGTTTGTTATTATAATGTCCTGGCAGTATACGCATTTAAATGTTTATAAGGATTTTATATATTTTCCATTCTTCTGCTTAAAAAAGCATTATCACAAATTACGGTTGTGGCTTCACCCTAAATTTTGAGAAAGTACGTTGTAGTTAAATCATGCACCGATTCTCCTAAGGCAGTTTAATTTCAATCTAATTTGTACTCTGTCTGACAGATAGGACCACTAAATATCCAACTAGAGTGCCAAATGTCTTCCCTACTGAACCTATCCTGAGGGGCAGAAAATTATGAAGATATCTCAGAGCTTAAAAGTTTGATTTTACTGAATTGCTGGAGGTTTTGTGGCTTCATTGGCTTCTATAAAAAGTATGGGTGCTTTCTTAAAAATGTCTGTTGATATGTAGAAAATTATCCCTGGTGGTTGAATCCCTTGCGTTTATTACAACCTTGCTTACAAGCTCACTACAATTCCAATACTCAGTGTAATAATAGTAATTCATCCATCGCTAAGCAGAATGTTCTTGCCTTTAGTCACTTCTCGTGTTCATTTTCATGTTGAAAACCTTTCTTTGCAAGTAGCTTTCCATGTATTGCAAATCAAGTGACCACTAAAAGGTCTTAGAATATTGAGGGAGTTTTGTCTTCACCTCAGGACAGGTGAAAGTGATTTTCCTCCTGCTCAGTAACAGAGAAGATGCTGGAAAGCATCAGGCAAAAAGATGTCATCACTACCAACACAGCACTTGTTTCTGACTCCTGATAAAGCTGATAAAAAGGATGTAGAGTGAAGAAGAAAGAGAGAAACATCGTAATGATGCTTTGCATATAAACTAATCAGTTGCCTGTTTACTTGAAGGGAGACGCTTCTATTCTCATGGATGGTCACATTACTGGAAAAAATAGAGAAACATTTAATGTAAAAAGAAGTGATAGGATGGAAAGAGAAAAGTGAAGAGGACGTGAAAAAGAATAGAGGGAGAAAAATGTTAATACATCTTTTATTGAATATGTTTTGAATAGACTTCATGTGTTGACCAGTTGGCATACTGTACTTAATAAAGAAATCTATTTTGGGTTTCTACTGCTTTATAGAAACTTCTTTAAAAAACATACTGTTGAGCAGATGCGAAGACCTCTCAACACCGCACAACTTGAGTATCGTAAACACTTATTCTCTTATTTCCTTGTGATAATTACTTGTCACTAATAAGAAATATTTTATTATTTGTGAAAGAAGAAGAAGAAGGAATTTCTGGTATAGACTATCCCACAATGGAGGAGGAAGTAGAGCTTCTAAGTGTCCCAGAAAATCTTTGGAAAATCTTTCAAATAAGTGCCTGCTAACCTCCTGTTTTGTCAGGGCAGTGCAAAGAACTCTACATGTGAAGGAGAGTCATTTATTTAAAGCGGAATTGAGATTTGTGTCTTTCCCTGAGTTTCATAGTTGTACTAACGATACTGAAAATGAGTAAGTGAGGCAAAATATGTTCAGAGGTACCGTGATGCTTACACTTAATTTATTTTTAATATTAAATCAGCTATGTCAAACAATATTAAGACCTGATTACATTTACTTATTTCATCTGTTACGTGGCTGAAAGCACCTGGTCTTTGTGTGCCTCAGGTTATAATTTAGATATACAGTTTATGAGGTAATAGACATACTGTGATCCACCACATTGTTCTGTGATTTAGTGTGCTCCCCTAAGTTGTTGTGTAATTCTGCTCACTTCATCTAGACTAGAGATTTCAGAGCGCTCTGAGAGTTAATTGATTTATTCATGGTTTTTTGTCTTCATTTATAAATCCTTAATTGGCTCAAAAAGTACAATGAATAGCTAAGTCTCTTTTGGAACAATTACAAGTATCAGTTTTGGACATCCCGTAGAGAGCTACGGTTTGGATGTAGTTCTTATTGCTGAGACTGAAGCCTTCACTCAGACAAAGCTTTTTTTGAGTTCAGACAAGCTTTTACTGTAGTAGAAGACGGGACAGGATCCCTACCATATTATTCTTTCTATCCATATTACCATCTTAGGTAATGATAGTTAAATGCTAATGCAGATGGGGGTTTCTGTAGTAATATATAGAGTATTTGAAAATTGGGTATGATCTATCTGATACTACTGAAGACTTATTTTAGCGGTCAGAAGAGGATATATTTGGAGACAGCTCGTCTCACTCCTCAAGAGTTAAAGGACGAAAATACATTTGTCTTGAGGAAGGTAGTTCCAAAGTGGTGTATTTCTGGACAGAGCATTGCATTTTCTTTTCACAGAATTATTTATTTCATATCATTTAGAAAAAAGGTAAATAGTAACAGCTTGCAAATTAGCCAGGCCTCGGAATTTACTAGTAAAGGGTATTTTGCCAAAAAGTTGTGATCAGACAGAGAGTGAATGCTTCCGAGATACTTGCCACGGGCCCTACTGCTCTTAAGATTTGTATTTTGGGGCTTCAACTCCATTTGTCTGGATGTTTTATTTGGGCAGTTATTTGAACAGAATGTCTCTGCAGCCTGTTTCAAATGCAGTTGTCTTCACTGTTTGCAAAGATAAATTAATCTGTTGCAATAATAAAGTTATTTTTCCCCTAATCACCTCCAGATTTCTAAATGTTATTACTGGTCGAATTCTGTTCTTCCTAACATTGCTGAACACTCAGAACAGCTCCACTAATTCAGCGAAGTTTAATAGATGTATACAGGAAATATAAAAGTGCAGTTTGACACGTCCATAACTGAATACATGTTTCTAAAATCACAGTAAGGGATGCTGGATTTTGACACGCAACTTGCCGTTTGTCAGTGGCTTTGTGCATGGTGAAGACCATATAACTCAAGAAAACTTATCCTCCAAAAAGGAATTAGTAGCCCTGCATACACAATGAAGGAGGAAGAGGTAAAACACGCATACAATCACTACAAAGCAGCTGACACGTTTTTACTTATTCGTGTCTCAAACTCTTCAGTAGCTTTTTGTCTACACTGTCTGGCATTCTTTAATGATAAAGCTGAAGCCCTTTTGACAGCCTGCTGTATCTGGGACGGTGTCATTAACTTAATGCCTTCATATTCTTTTATTTCTGTATACTTTCAGGAATTATTTACTTGATCTCAGCTCTTAGCCACCTGGAGCATTCTGTGTTGTATCTGACTGTTTCTGCACAAGATGGGGGTGGCCTTTCCTCTGCCATTAATGCAGCTGTCACAGTAAACATCCTTCAGACCCCTTTGGCACCTGCCATATTTGAGAGATCCCGGTATACTTTTTCTGTTCCCGAAGACATACCTGAAGACAGCCCCATTGGAACAGTAAAGGCCAGAGAACCTTTAAGTAAGTTTTATAGTCAGAGATTACAGCATATTTTAATTGTGTCGCTAGGCTGGAAACATCTGCAGGTAATCTAATTTTTTAAACTTCTGTATTATTTATTCAGTATGTTGAGCATCAAATAGTATTTATTGTAAGTATTTACAGCAACTGCTGTAATAGCTGCTGAATCAGGATTCTCTTTAGAGCAGGCTTCCCAAACTGAGATGATTGGAAAATCCATCTTGGTGGCCCATGGGGAACAGGAACTGCCTCCATTTTCTTATTTCCATTTACTAATTTGCTTTGCAAGATAGGAAATTGCTTAAGGTATTTTTAACTAATATGTGTTCTGCATGCAAGCATCTGCTTAGTTGCCAGATGGATTTGTGTGACTGTGAGTGGCGAGCGCACTGTGAAAGTGTAAGGAAGGGCGCGTATCACAGCATGCCTTGTGTTAAAGCATTGGCCACAAAAGAAGAACTGTAGAGCAATACTGATGAGCAAACAGAAGGTATTCAGAAGTTTTCGAGAATCTAGATGGTGTCCTAATGCAAAAAAAAAAAGTATTTCTAAATTGAATTATTTCTAAATTACTTTCTAAATTGAAATCCAGACAGGTGTTTATGGGGCTTTTTAAAAGTTTATGTAATCCATTTGGTTTCTTCATCACTTTGAGAGGGAAATGGGTTTAATCCTTCCGGGCCCCTTGTAGCCATTAGAGACCCTGACCATGAGCGCCTTACATGTTTGGCTCTTATGCAGAACAGTGGAAACATGGGTCTGCATACCAACTTGACTATGGATCTCTGCACATAAGGTAATAGAGGGAGAGGTTTTATAAGAATTTGTGATTAGGCAGATCCTCTTACTTTCTTCTTGGAGTTAGAGTGCATTGACCACAGTCCCCAGGGTGAGGTAGTACCTTGCTAAGCCAGAACCGTGTGGAACTGTGGAAAAGAATTTTGGTCAGCATTTGGCATGTATAGGTTATAGCAATGGTCATGCATGAACAGTAAGTTCAGTAAAATGCAGTTCTTTCAGAGAACTGCCATCTGTTTTATTCCTTGTTATAGCGAATCCCTGTATGTAGTGAAATTATTCCCTTAAAGGTAATTTATGAGAGTATTTTTCTGTATTTTTAGATGAAGGGAAAACAGGAGGGAGATAGTATTTGCTCTGTAGAGATTTATCATACTAGTGATGAAAGTCAAATAGCACATAAGTGTGCAAACTGTATACAGTCAGATCAACGCTGTGCAGTATTTATTTTACTGAAGGGCTCTAGGGACAGGAACAAGGAACCATAAAAACCTAAGAAAGACAAATATCTTTGTAGGTTACATTTATTCAGCTGAATTTAATGGCACGCCTTCTTCCCAAATCTTCGTACAAGCTTTCAGATTATCACTTTCGTACTTTCTCACATGTTGTTGTTGTTGTTCCTGTTTCTATTTATAGATTCTTTAGAAGTGGTTTCTTACAGAATTTCCTCAGGTGATCCATATGGAAGATTCTCTGTTGACCCTCAGTTTGGTATCATCCGCACCAAAAAACAGCTTGACCATGAAACTCAATCTGTTGTGGTGCTCACTGTTCAGTCACAATTGGGTAACGCCAGTGTCTACAGTAGCACCCAAGTCAACATATCTGTGATAGATGTCAATGACAACCCTCCAGTATTTCTTACCAAGTCTGGAAAAGTAATTATTTCACATACCTTGCCTCCTGGCACAGCTATCTACATTGCTCATGCAGAAGATAAAGACAGTGGCCTAAATGGGGCAATCAAATATAGTATTGCAAGCAAGCAATCAAATGCATTTAGCATTGATCCGAGCCTTGGAGTGGTAAACCTCACCAGGACAGTGTTTGCCGATAAGCAGCAGG